AAGCGGGGTCCGGAACGGCTTGCGGGGCTCAGTCATCTGGGGGTGGAGGGCAGAAGAACGCGGGGGAAGACACGACACGTGACCTCTGCGACCCTAGTGCCCGGCCCCCGGCCCCGACGCGCTCGCTTGCTCCCCGCCCACTCTCCGTTCCGCTCCGCCCCTTAAAAGCCAGGGCCACGAGCGACAGACGCTGCAGCCAATGGCGTCGCGCACGGCCGACGTGGTACCCAATCAAAAGGCGCGGCTGCGGGCGACGGGGGCGGGACCACCCCCGACTTCAGGTGCCTCCCAGGCGGGGAGCGGGTGAGTGTCTCCGTCAGCTGATTGCATCCTCGCTGGGTGGGTTCGTCGCGGCGAGGTGCTGGGGACGCGGCGGCGGGAGCGCGCGGGCAGTGGCCGGTCCGGGATCCCTGCGTGCTGCAGCCGAGAAGCATGATGGAGGAGCATCTGGAGGTTGGGAAGGAGAGCACGGTAAAGAAAGAGTGAAGCCCGCTGCCAGCCTCCGCCTGACTCCGTGATACCTAGTGGTACCCACGCGGGGAGTGGCTGTGTGTGTGTGTGTGTGTGTGTGTCTCCGTGTGTGTGTGTGTCTCGCGTGTGTGCGCGCGCACGGGCGAGCGAGAAAGGGGACACTTTGGCAAGGGGGTGGGGCGCCTCTGTCGCACCTGCGTGGGAACCGGTGACAGCGCTAGGGGAGGCGGGGTCTTACTTTTGCCCTGACAGATGAAAAGGCCCCCATCACGGTCACTTTTACCCTCCCCAGGACCGACATACGCTGGTTCAACGGGGAAGAAGAGAGGGGCGGGATGTTAGGGATTGGGGAGAGGCCGACGTCCTCTTCTCCCCTCCCAAGGTGGGGGAGTCCTGTTCGATAACGGCTTCACTTGTGTCTGTGTTCGCCTCATCACAAGGCCAGTCCTTCATCTTTTCCTTTTGACTTCATTCGACGAAGAGTTACTGAGCGTCTCGTTGCGCCAAGGATGGCTAGGGCGTGCAGAGCTGCAGGCTTTGGGGCGACGGAGGCGCATGTGAGGATGGGGCGGGAGCAGCCGTGAGTGGTGGCCCATTCCTGAGACCCCGTCTTCGTCAAGCAGTGTTGGTCAGAACAGAGATACTAAGGCAGAAGGAGGGGGAAGAGGAGTTGGGGTCCTGCTGCACCCGTGAGCCAGACTGTGTGTGTGTTTGGGGTGCGGGGCAAGTTGGAAGGCTTGAGACTGTCGGAGAAGCCAGGAAGTGAGAAGCAGGCTTCAAGTGGAGTTTGGAGGGGCGGGAGTGGCTGAGAGACACAGCGTGGTACAGACAGTATCTACTTTATTGTTTATCTATGTTCATATTCATAGTTAAGTTAGTTAATATCTATAATGCTTAGAGCATATATACGAGGTCTGACCATTAGGTTTGTGAACCATCCTGGAAAAAGTGCTACATACCTCATTGCTGAATATCATTACGGTCACCTTCAAAGTCTTTCCCTTGGGAAGCTATGTGCCGACGTCAGCACCTCATCCACCTGGAAAAGCAGTTTTGGAACTCTTTTTCGGGAATAGCCATCAAGCTGTCGTCGTTATTTGTGGGGGTCTGACAATTAAGTTTGCGAACTCGCCACTGTGCACTTATTGTTGGTGGCACTGTAAAATTAACTGTATTGGAACGCCCTCCCTACTCACCTAATCTGGTCCCCGATGACTTTTTTCTTTATCCAAAGATAAAGGAACTACTGAAAGGAAGACATTTGATAACACTCGGGACATCAAGGGTAATACGACAACAGCTCTGATGGCCATATATGTATATATGTTGGAATATATACATATATATTCTTGGAATATATATATATATATATATACATATATATATATCCAAGCAAGTCTCAAACCCCCGGGCTCAGGCAATCCTGTCATCTCTGCCTCCCAGTGTTGGGATTACAGACGTGAGCCACCATGCCTAGACTTAATGTCTCTATATTTAAAATTTAAAGAAGGATCTTAGAGAAGATATATATATATATTCTCTAAGATCCTTCCTATAGATAGATAGATAGATATTTGAGTTGGAGTCTCATTCTATCGCCCAGGCTAGAGTGCAGTGGCATGCTCATGGCCTCCCCAGCATCGACCTGCTGAACTCAGATAATCCTTCTGCCTCAGCCTTCCAAGTAGCTGGAATTACAAGTGCGCACTACTGCACCCGGCTAATTTTTTATTTATTGTAGAGATGAGGTCTCGCCAAGTTGCCTGAGCTGTTCTTGAACTGTGGGTGCAGGCAATCCACTCGCCTCGGCCTCCCAAAGTTCTGGGATTACAGGCTGAGCCACCGAGCCCAGCATATTATATATATATAAAATATATATGTCTTCTCTAACCATTATATATATATATAATTTATATATGTGTAAAAATGGTTAGAGTGGTGCCTAGCATATCTTAAGAAAAACATGTGGCTCACACCTGTAACTCAAAAAAAAAAAGTGTGTCTTAGCTATTATATTGCTGTTGTTGTTGTTACTGTTATAATGTGGAATGCTGTATAGTCTGAGGGTGTGAAGAACTCTTAAACTAATGGGTGTACCCTCAGCCTTTATAGGAGCCATGCTTTCTGAAAGACCACTATTAATACTTAGCCTCTAGTTTAAGCATTGTCTTTTCTAAAATCCTTCTTTAAATATAGAGACATTAAGGCCAGGCATGGTGGCTCACGCCTGTAATCCCAACACTTTGGAAGGCAGAGGCGAGAAGATTGCTTGAGCCCAAGGATTTGAGACCAGCCTGAGCAATTTGGCGAGATCTTGTCACTACAGTAAATCAAAAGATTATCTGGGCATGGTGGCGCATACCTATGGTTCCTGCTACTTGGAAGACTGAGGCGGAAGGATCTTCTGAGCCCACCAGGTCAAGGATGCGGTGGCTGTGAGCATTCCACTGCACTTCAGCCTGGGCAACAGAGTGAGACTCCAACTCAAAAAATAATTAATTAATTAATATAGAGACATTAAAAGAATATATAAGTAAAAATTATGGTCAGGCTCAGTGGCTCAGCCTGTAATCCCAGCACTTTGGGAGGCCAAGACGAGTGGATTGTCTGAGCCCGCAGGTTCGAGACTAGCCCAGGCAACTTGGCAAGACCTCATCTCTACGGTAAATAAATAAATAAATAAGCTGGGTGTGGTGGTGTGCATCTGTAGCTCCAGTTACTTGGAAGGCTGAGGCAGAAGGATCGCCTGAGCCCAGCAGGTTGAGGCTGTGGTGGCCATGAGTGTGTCACTGCACTCTAGCCTGGGCAGCAGAGTGAGACTCCAACTCAAAAAAAGAAAAAGAAAAA